TATAATTATTGTTTTGAATTAGTCTCCAAAATTACTAATTGTAAGGCCAAACACTCTCCAGATGAGCTACTAATTCTATCAAGGCTGCAAAAATAAAGTTATGTTATTACTACTAAATTGCAAATTTAATATTTTTAAATCACATACATCTTTTAGCTTTATCCATTAAAATTTTTCTTTTCTTCTTCAGAAAGTGCAGGAACTGCTTCAGCAATGTTACATAACATTGCGAACGTAACAATTACGAAACAAAACACAAGTTTTGAAACCATTTTATAAAAGAAATATATAAAAAAATCGTTAAATTAAAAATAAATATATGAAATTTTATTTAAATAAGATATAACTTATTCTTGTTTTATATACAAAATTTGTATGTCTAGTAATAATAAAAAATTGTTTCCAAAAATATATTTACTTTACGTGCATAAACAAATATATTTTTTCCAAAAAAATTCCAAATATGAAATAATCAAATATTGCATATATTTAATAACAATTGTTTGTGATTTTTAATACTTCATGTGTAGAAATTACAATCAGCATTTTTTTTTTTGTTAGTATTATGGATTTATATTTTTTTTACATTTTTTTAATTTCAGTCTAACTATTTTATTTAAATCAACAATTAATAAAAGAGAAAAATCAATTTTTGCGTCAAATTCTGAGGTATCTAATTATGAAATTATATTGAAAATTAAAACTGAAATTATTATTTTAGTAACTCTTAATATATTTATTAATTTTCTACTTTCTAGTTACAGTATCAGTTTCGTATTTAGAACTTATCATGGTTTTATACATCATCATATATTTTATTGATAAATAATAAATATTTTTGTCTAAAATATAATTTGCACACTTTATTTATATTATATTAATTTTATTGGCAAACTTCGAATATTTTTTTGAATTTTAGATTAACCTCCAAAATTACTAAGACCAAATACTGCTCCAGAAGGGCCACTAATTTTATCCAGTGCTATAAAAAATAAAATTATAATATCAATAATAGATCATAAATTTTAATATTTATTAATAACATACATTTTTTAGCTTTATCCATTAAATCTTTGCGTTCTTCATCAGAAAGTTCAGGAACTGCTTCAGCACTGTTACATAACATTGCAAACGTAACAATTACGAAACAAAGTAACAAAATTTTAGAAACCATTTCATAAAAGTTTAATAATATAATAATAATATATATTTAAATATATAAGTTTAATTACTACAAGAATTTGTGCATTACCAATTTGATTTTATATACAAAAATTATATTCCAAACTTATATTTATTTAACTAAGTGATTTTCATATGTAAACAAATTTTTATTTGTTGCAAAAAAATTACCAAATATCACGATATTAAAAAATAAATATTTAGTAAAATATTGCATATTTTTTTAGCAAGATTTGTTTATTTAAGATAATTTCAAAATTTTACGTGTGGAATTGCAAAACCAGTATTTTTTTTTTTTATAAAATATTTGATGTTATTTTAACTATATATTTTTTAAGAAATCTTTATTGCAAATATATGACAGATATTTTTGAAATGTTTTAAAATTTTGATTATTTTTAAAAAATGTTACATAACTAAGGTATAAAATAAATAAGTAAAAAATAAGTTATAAAATTTTCGTGCTCGTGTTTTTTAGTTTTCCTTTACTTTAATAATTTTTTTCATACTTTTTAATAATTTTAATGAATTTATGTTCGTAATTTTGTGAAAATTTTGAAATTTTTAAAATTGATAATAAATATTCAATAAGCTAAATATTATTTATTTATAAAATAATATGCGAACGGAACTTTTAGAGGTTTTAGTAAATAGTTTTAGAATTTTGGGAGAGACTTTAAGAATTAATTTTTTTTTGAATTTAATTATATATGTATTACAATAACTAAAAATTCTGCTTGGTTCAAATAATTTTTACATAAAATTCCTATTAGGTTATATGAATAATCTAAAATTAGAATTTACATAAATTTGTCATTGTCATTTACACAAATATTGATAATTTATATTAAAATGCTAAAAATATTTTCGGGTTTATTATTAGTTTATTAAAACCTCTTAAAGTTGTTTTTGGAGTTACAACCTTACTTAAAAAATTTGGAATTTTAATATTTAATATTATGCCGATAATATCAAATAAAATTTATTATTTATTTACTGGTAATTTTAAATACTTAGTTTTCCATAATGTGTAAGAAATTCGTATTGAAAATTAAGAAGTAATATTTGGATTGAAAAATTTTAAGTCTAAATTTAATGATAATAATAAACTTCAAATTTTTTAAAATCCATATTTGATGAATTATAAAATTGGAAAGTATTTAATTTTTATTCAAAATTTTAAATTACAAGCACTAAAAATAAATTAATGGGATTTTTTATAGATATATTTCAAACACACTTATTATATTTGTAATAGTAATAATTATAGTATACAAATTATTATTTTAAACTTTAATCAATTCTTATGAATAAACCACTTTTGGTATGTTTCTAATATTTTAGAATGTTTGTTATTATCGAGAATTTTTACAAAAATTGTCATTTTTTTTAAATGATTTCTAACTAAAACATACTAGCACGTTTCTCATCTAATATCTCTCGAAGAGTTCTTGAATTTTTAGTTTAAATAATATTCTTAATTTAGTTTAAATAATATTCAAAATGTACTCCATTGCAAAAATATATTTATTGAAAAAATATACATTATAAAAATAATTTTATGTATATTTATTTATTTAACTTTTTTTGTCGTTTATTTGTACGAGACCTCTCTCCGCCGGACTTCCCTGATCTTTGCTCGTCTTGAATTTGTTTTAATCTTTCTAGGGCTTCTTTTTTTTCATCGTCTAACTTTATTTGCCTTACTCTATCTTTACCCATTGTATCTAATTTCTTTTTATATTCATCAACAACTTGTTTAGCATTATCTTTCATTCTTTGCTTTTCTTCCTGGAATTTCTTGACAAAATCTGAACCACCTGGAAAAATTCTTTATTAGTTCTACTAATTTTACTATTTTGATGTTTATAGCTCAAATAATTCAAGGGGCGTCTATTAATCACGTAATAGATTTTTTAGGATTTTTTAGCATTTTTTAGCACCCCCCCCCCCTCCCCTTGAGATAAAATTGTATTTTTGAATTTTTTGAAAATGTTGGGCTTTTTTTTTTCAAAAAAAAAATCTGGTAAAAAATAAATACACGTGATATCTTACTGAACTCGCCCCCTCCCTTATGTGATCTTTTGTGATTTTTTGTCAAACTCAACACCAAAAAACTCACGTGTTTATGGACGCCCCCTTAAATAAACTAATAAAATTATTATATTTAATTAAACTTTAATAGATTAATATCAGTACTAAAATTCGTAATATTTTATTAACTTCCCGTTGGGTAAGTTATTGTAATGGGCCGAAAATCGGAATTGAAAGTTTTAACATTTCTCGACGTTTTGAAGGTTTCTGAACGTTTTGGCATACCTCAGAAAAAATGGATGTGTGTGTGTGTGTGTGTGGGTGTGTGTGTGTGTATGTATGTATGGATACAAATTTCCAGTCACGTTTTAGGGCGCACGGATCAACCGATTGAATGGTTCAAAACATTCGATTCCTATTGATAGGGAAAAGAGCTGATTAGTTTTTGGCAAAGGCAGGTCCAGCCGTTTCGGAGATACGAAGCAAAGAGTGCAGAAAATAGAAATCGAATTTTTGAGAGAACGGAGTATCCGATTTGAATAATCTAAAAAACTTCACTTAGTAATGATTGGGAGAAGTGCTTTATTTTTTTGGCAAAGGCAGGGCGCCATTTCGAAGATACGGAGCTAAATATGTAAAAAATTGCAGTTTTTGAGAGAACTAAGCGTCCGATTTAAATGATTCAAAGAACGTGCTTGTCTTAACAAAATAATTGATTTTGGAAAAAAAAATTTGTTCCATTTTTTTTTTTTTTTTTTTTAGTTTTTTGTATATCGAAAATATTTCAAATTTTATTTTTAATTCTGACTATAGTTCTAATATACTTTACAAATAATTTCAACTCTGACATTCAGTATTCTTCAAACATTTCGTTTCGGTACGGGAAGTTCCAGCTATTTGCCTTAAGGCACGATGCCATAATTGCCTCAAGACAGAATTCCACTTACAGCTAGTTTTTAACTTATATTGATTTAATAAAATTTTTACTGTTTCATTACAAGAATTAAATTTAAGTATTATTTTAAATGCTAACGACAATGATCAAACATAATGTATGAATTTTATTAAATATCATAATTTACGTATTTTATATTTTCAGACTTGACAGATTCAAATCACAAACAGATTTAAATTTTTAAATAAAATAATATAATTATATAAGAATGTCAAGTAAAATCGTAAGTTCAGTACTAATAATTGTGTTATCAAAAAGGGTAGGGCAAGTTATAGTAATCGCAAAAAAATCGAAAATGAAAATTTTTATATATCTTTACGTTTCAGAGGTTTCTTAACATTTTGGCATACCTTAGAAAAAATGGATGTATGTGTGTGTGTGTGTGTGTGTGTGTGCGTGTGTGTGTGTTAATTTAAAAAACATTCGATTCACATTGATAAGGAGACGTGCTGATTAGTTTTGGGCGAAGGCAGGTTTAGCCGTTTCGAAGATACGGGGCAAAAAGTGCCGAAAACGGTAACTCAGTTTTTAGGAGAACGGAACGTCCGATTTTAATAATTCAAAAAACATTTTACTTGTTTTAACAAGATGAAGAATTGAACAAATTTTCATAAAGGCAGGTCTAACGATTTTGGAGATCTAATGAAAAAAGTAAAAAAAAGCCATTTGGTGCTCAAAAATGATCATTTGACATATGCACATCAAGTTATCAGATATTTTATT